CAAAAAAATATTCCAAACAGAATAAATTAACAACAAACGTTAATTTTTTATGTATTTTCGATTGATGCGATTTACTAGTCGCACTTTTTGGTTTTTCAAGCGAATATTATTTTAATAGAGTAGTGCAATAGTTTTAATAATTTTTGAAGTAAGTTTTGTGGTTCTTGTTTAAGATGCTGAATAGAATAAAGCCAATTAATTATTGCTGCTGGAGGCTGAATATGTATAAAAAAATCGCTTACCAAAATGGCGGGAACACCCACAGTCTAAGCTTATCTGCTATATAGTCAGCCACCTTATAGTAAGCTTTATTGACAAGTATTTTAATAGTAGATTTAAATATAGGTAATTATTGTATATTGCGTGGCACTTTATTGTAAAAAACACACAAAGACCCCTGAATTGATTCTTAGTTTTTGAAGGTTAGACTGTACGTATGACTGTATGATGATTCAAGCTTAAACATGGATAAATAAAAATGGAGGCAGAATGACCAAAAAGTGTGACCGGTCTGATTTGGTAGGTAATCAGATTCAGAAGAAGCTGCCGAGATGTCGGGCTTGAAACAAATCACTATCTAGTGATGAGCCAGTTTAGGTCTTTAAAGAACAAGTACTGGGAATTGACATAACCTCAGCTGTGATGATTAAGCTGAGTAGTGTCTATGTATTTTTAATTGGAAGGTTATGATGGGCTGAAGACTAGCTGTCACTGTTTCTTGAACATTGTTTCTTGTTCAATAACAAAGCCATTAGTGTTATCAGCATAACAGTCATAGTAACATAAAGGGAATGCTGTGGGTGCCTGAAACATGATTCATAAATGATGGTAAGTTATCTTGCTCTCCAATATCATAGAAAAGTATCAGGTATTAGTCCAGAAACTTTTCTGCGCTCTGTGGATCAACATAAAGCATTTGAATGAGCAATGTGGAAAGAACTTCGGGTCTACAGTCTATCTATATAAGCTGTAACTATATTCGTTAAGTTCTGAAAAGTAATTATTTCTGTTCAATACACTTTCAGTTTTAATATAATAAGTTATTGGAACAAATTCTGCGAAATTTTGCAATTTCCGTGGAGGCCCAGAAACCACAAAAGCCTCAGATATTATCACATCTAAATTGAGAGTATGCTGTTTTTTTACAAAAATGACAAAAAATATCCAACTTATGATGACTATAATTTTTGTATTATCTTTTCTGTGTACCAAAAGATTGTCAGATGCATAAGAGTTATATTTTTATTACTTAAGAAAAGCATTTAAAATCTAACTAAAAAGATTGCCAAATTTTGTTAAGACTTAACTGAAAACAGGCACTTAATTTTTTTTTCGAAATGATCTAGTAAGATGACCCACAACTGTTTCCACTTCGTGTTACGGCTCTGCTCTTTGCCGGGCATGGATTTATTGCCTGTATAAAGTCATGACTAGAAGGTGGGAACGGTAAAACAAAATGACCATGGAAATTGGCACTTTCGCTCGGACAGAACTATCTTAGATCTATATTCAATAACTATGAGACTAAAAAATATTATCATCTTCTTGTAAATAAACTAATACTTAACACTATTGATATAGTTTTTTGTATTTGTTGGAGACTAGTGTCCTGAGGGCTCAATATTGTGTATTAAAAGTGATTGTGGACAGTGCATGGAAATTAGATTTACATTTTTTTTTCTTGAGTACTAATTGTCTTATGGATATAATTAAAGTGGCTTCATTTAGGTATACGATTTTTTATATTATAAAAATGTGGTGTTATCTTTAAAGCAAAACTGTGTTTTCATCTTGGACGCGTTAATTAACATCTAAGAAAACAAACATTTTGTAGACACATTACAAATTAAAAAATAAACAATTTAAGTAATATTAATCAACTTTTATTTTTGATCCACGAAACAATTTGTATTAATCAACAAATTTAAACTTTAAATTGCTGAAAAAGTTTTCATTTGCGCAGAGACGGTCTAAACTTGGAGTAATCGTGAATGCCACATCTCTGTCGATCATCCTTAAGAGTTCCCATTCTTTGGTTTTTATCTTGACAAGGGTCGAAAATTCTAATTCATACAAAAAGTTTGTTACAAACGGTAACTCAGTGGCGTAGAGGATAAGAGCCGCGCCCCACGCTCGTTGTTGCTGACCAACTTTCGCTAGGGTCGGTAACGAGATAGGTGAGTAAAAGTTATTATCTTAAGCTACTTTTCTTGCTTCAAAGGGCATGTTAAGCCATTGGTTCGGCTGCATTTGTAGTTTTTAATACCCTCCAATCAGCATTGCAGTATAGAGGGTTAAGGCCCATTATCCTTAAACATCCGTAAGGAAGGTCTAAACCGCTGCGGTCAGGACCTAGAACGGGCTGATGATGATCAAAAATATTTCAATGGCATGTTTAAAAAGCAGATGATTCTTTTTACAAGACACACCTACTAATGACCTTGGTACAGCAGTGTACACACTTTGTGGAACAGTGGAACCACTGGAATATATAGAACGTGTCCGAATTTACCTAGTTGATGTGTAAAGTGATGTAATGGCGCCGCGACACGTCACTGTTCAAAAGTGAATCTCCTAATGAGCGTTCACCTGTCGACATCATCATTCACCTGGCGTGTTATTCACAATACCAGGATTATTCACGAGCTATTTATAAAATTATTTATACATACGCCCCGGGACTCCGGACCTTAATGAATTTTGGACGACCGTCAAAAGCTCACTTTATAAAAGATACATTACGCGACCCGCCCCAATTACAGTGTACATGTAGTAAGCTCAGTCTTATAGTATTTATATGTGGTTGAAGAGGTAAATGATGGGTGACCAAAAGTTTACTATTTTGAGTTACTCCGTGCTTCGTGAGGCACATTTTAAGGAGTTATTCCCAGTTGCATCTAAAGTCGTAACACCCCCCAATCCGTTGGTGGTGGATTGATCTATTCTACCTCTTGAATACCATTCATAGAGAAGGTTGGTGTCCCAGCAGTGGGGGCAACAATTGGCTAGGGATGCTATGACCAATAAACAAAGGGGTACGAGCTTGCTTTAATATTTTTGGATTTGTTCTCTAATTTTATGTATAATTGAGTCTTTGTACATTGTCTTGTCAACCAATATACCAAAATCCTTGCCTTTAATCTCTCATTTAAAACAAACAGATCAGTTAATGCTTAAACGATTCCAGTATAAACAGAAACTCTACTAGGTCAGTGAGTCAGCCTTGACCTGTATTCAGGAGGCGTATTCTGGAATATGCCGTTGTACTAATCAGGCAATATGCAATCAACTGAGATGCCATTATTATGTTTACATTACGACACCTTCTATATATAATATCGTAACTTTTTGGCAGAGTAAATTGTATTATTTCTCAAATTAATTATTATCATTTATGATATAATACAATCCAATTATTTATGGAGGCAAATCTCTTTATACATAAACTTTATAAATAATTCATTGCATAGTTTGAAATTTTTGGCTTGGCTGTACTGTAAAGTTGTTTAAATGCGATTACGATGACAGGAGATGACGATTATTAAGGCTTTGTTCTATACCATGGAAAATTATATATTTTAGTATTTGATTGAAGAAAAAAACTGAGAATATATAATATTCTAACTAATATAATAATCGGACGATATCTTTTTTCTTTCTTTTTTCAAAAAATATCGTCCGATTATCGTAATCTGTTTGAGAATACATCCACAAACTCCGAAACATTCCAGATTCGAGGTGAGTATTCTGTGAGTCATAAGCCAAAAGACGCAATGGTATCGCTGAGAATAAAATATGAAATCCGACTTAGATCCGAAACTCTGAATATTCAACAATCGTGATGATGCGCGCGCGCAGGTGATTCATTCACCAATTTTGCAAATACGTAGTTTTTGTTTTGCAGCAAATGAATCAAGAATGAGTGATGTATTTATAAAATTGGAAATCTTGAACGATATCTAATCATTTGGCTTGTTGGCGTAAAAACATGGCTTATCGTCAATGATAAACATAGATTTTTATTTAAGTTTTCCCTTCAAGTATAAAAGATAGAGAATACATACGTGTAAGTATTGATTGAGAAATTTGATAAAAATATAATATTAGTACCAATTCTGTTGCACAAACTAGACTTTTCGATTTAGTCAAATTGCGTTTTAATTGTAAAAACAACTAAAATACCAAAATGTAGTTTATTATATTACAGTACTTATAGGGGGTATTATTATATTATTTATTATATATATGTATCTTTATGACTATGGAAAAAGGTTTAAAGAAAACCCGATATAAAGTGAAATTTTCTCTTAGTTGAGTTTTTAGAGGGTGGCACAATAGAATTGGCAACATTAGCTGTACTAATATTAGAAACTTGTAATATGATGAACATTCATTCGCATTACTATATTTTTGAATATTCGCGTTCGCAAAGTTTGTATAAATAACTAATTTTATTATCTAGTTATTTATGCACACAAAAAAGGACGGCACGGTTCGGACGGAAATAATGATAAAGCTGATATATAACGTGAATGTTGAAGGATCAAATCTATCGTTTGCTGCTAGAAGGCCATTAAAACCGGCAAGAATACGTGAAAAGAGTAATGAAAGTGAAGGAAGCGATAGATGTAAGTGGGGGCCGTGCCTTGTGTCCCTCAGTCCTCCCTGTCTACCAAGGCTCACGGCGTAAAGATATAGTCAGATAGATCGAGCATAGAAAACAATAAAATACATACTCGTAATTCAATGTATAGAGACAGAACCAAATTTTCCTCCGGAACTTTTGTCAGTCTATAAATAAGTTTTTCATTTTAGATAAACATCTTGAAAGAAACTAAAATCAATATATATATTGGCACCAAATAAAAAAAAAAACATTCGCATTTGCCAATGTCGGGGGTAGATATTCGTATTCGCATTTGTAAATATTGAAAAAAATGACATTAATTACATCACTAGTATCCACATGGAACATCATAACAAAATAAGTCGGTACTTACAATTCAAGTACGACGCACATATATTTTCCCCAGTCGTATGCGTCGTACAGCTGTATGAGGCGGGGGTGTCTCAACCTCCTCATTACTTCCACTTCACGTTCAACATTTCTTCGTTCATCTCTCCTGCTGACTGACACCAGCTTGGCTGCCAACTCCAGTCCTGTGCTCTTCTCCCGGCAAAGGTACACTGTGCCGAATTTACCCCTGCAGGACAATTTTAAGATCAGTGTCAGAAAGGCGATAACAGCATTCTATTTTTAAAAGTTTGAAATTACCTTGGTAACTTTTACCGACCTTGGAGTCTATATGAAATATTAAGATTATATCTTTCCGTTGATCACGAAACTTGTATGTATAATCCAATCAAATAAATTCGAGCTATTACATGTAGCAATAAAATTTATTAAATAAAAATAAGTTCAAAAACCAAAACCAAACTACATCAAAATCACGCTCTAAAAAGTTTCAAACAAACAATTTATTTCATAGCGATAGTTATATTATAATAGCGGTGACCAAATGACAGTGTAGTCGTAGTGTATGCCACAACTTATCTTTTTAATAAACATGTTCAATTTTGTATAATGCCATATCCCTTTTGATTTTCAGTTATTCCGTACGTATACGGAAGTTAAATGTTGAAGTTAATTGAAATGACAGGGTTTTGTTTCTACTACGCCATTAACTCTTTAAGCATTGTAACCATATGTAAACTGTTTGTTTTTTCAAACTAACGAAGCATATTTTTATGTATCTCGTCGCCGTCGCGCTAAATACATACATTAACGGGGGCTCAGAGGTCGTCAATGTTAATTAATTCAGTTTTCCTGACATGCTTGTCTTGGCGGCGTTAGAAGGTCAGGCCCGCCCCAGGAACAGTTCGGTCTGACGTTTATTAGTCATAAGTATAGAACGTCGAAGGAATGTCTTCGATCCACATAAGGTGAGTTCTTTGCACACATTCTTCTTATCATTCTGAATAAGTTGGATGTATCAAGTGATTTCAATAAGTTTTTTAGAATATCTCCATTGCATTTTGAAATTATAAATATTGCTCACATGTATTTATGTAAACTGGCTGACAGAGAACTCGATGACGCATTGGTTAGCGCAAATTTTAGCAAGGCCGGTTCCACGATGGGTGATCAAAAATTTATTATATCGTGCTCCTTTCTTTGGAATGCACGTTGAGCCTTTGGTTTGCAATCACGCCCACTAATCCAACCTGTACCCGCTCCCGCATGGTGGGTCATGGAAATTCTCCTTATTTGATTCCATCTATAAAGAAGTTCTGTTCGTCGGTAATGAGTTCATTAATAGGCTGGTAATGAATACAAGCATACATGCTCGTGTATGCTTGTAGCACAGGCTTTACCTTCCCTATTATATAATCAGAGAAAGAGAAGAGCGGTACATCTTTAGTTTGAGTAATGGATTTTATGAATAGATATTTATATTTAATTTTATTTTGGTTGTATAAATGATATAACAACATCGTTACATATATTGGATAACCAATAACAGATCCACACAGTCAGCCGTGAAGTTAAGTAACAATTATGAGATCACTCAGCAATTTAGCCCTACACAATCCCATCTCACTTTGTGAGGTATGTCATAAGACACATATTACATAACAGACAGACGCAGACAAAGAATTACCCAATGCAGTTCTTAATTTCAGAAAATTTTGGCTTTCATTTCTTTAAAATACACTTTTGACATTTTTGATTAGAAATAAAAAAACCAAAACAGATCCAGAACCGTGCTCAGATTATTTAATATTACCTACTCGGAATAGTAATGTATTCAGTTTGTAATTGGTTTTTGAGATTGGAACATTTTAATGGCTTGAAATTTCGTCACACTAGTGGGAACATTCAACTTCTGTTATTGATCTTTAATAATAACAATAATTATTGATCTTTACTTTCATTGTTTTATCAAATTCTTCATTATCTTCTCTTCGTGCCTCGAATACCTAGACTGTTGCTACAGTCTGTACGCTGACATCTATAAAATTTTTCATCACTATACAGAGTGATTCATGAAGAAGTCTTGTATGTATGTAAAAAAAAATACAGAGGCGCAAACGCATAGCTCTCAAGCTGTTATTTTAGTCATAAGACACGATATCTTATCGATGTAATGCCGATATTTCGCTTCATTTTACTACATTGACGCGTACTTTAATAACGACGAATGCACCATAGAGAATGATAAGTATGGATTTATTAGCAGTGTTACCAACTGAGTTATTTATTCCAAATTTATCAACCAAACTACATATCAAAGTAGCAACATGAAACGAAATATCATCATAACATCGCTAAAGTCAAAGTTAGAGAGTTTGCGGTCGCTCTGCAGGACCAGGAGGGCAAAGTCGCTGGCAGAAAGCTAGTTTACGGATAATTATAAATCTAACCAGCTATTTTTTCAATAACTACTTTGTTGCAGTTGCGGCATGGGTAGGTTATGTGATACAAGGTTAATTTTAAATGTTCCCTTATCTGTCACATCAGATTTTTATCAGTTATTAATTAACAGCTATATGTCTTAAGATTATTATCTATAGGACATTTTTTGCGATCTAAATATTACCACGCCTTGCTCCAATATGAGCCCAAGGTTTGATTCTTTGACAGCATTCACCGAAAATAATTGACTGTGTAATTATATCTTAAGTATCAAGTAATGAAAATAATCTAAAATATTTTTAATATCAATTAATTGGGTTTCTGTTTGTAACATTGTAATAATAAATTTTAATAATTTTTATGGAATGAATTACTAATATTATGATCTTTGGTTGGTATTCCGTGTAGTAAGTCTTGTTCTTAAGATCGCATGATTTAGGAAAAATTAAAATCTTATAGATTTATTAAGTCATTTCTAAGAGGTATCTAAAAAATCAAAATTTTCATCATATATGACTTTATATTCTTGAGATTTATAGATATTTTTCTGCAATGTAGTCCACTTCCCAATGTATCACCATTGCACACTAATTAAGAGCTTAAATAGCTAAAAAAGGAAAATTAAAGTTATAATCGCCTGCGTGGTCCTTTATTATACAAATAAATCATCTATCTGATGTTGAAAATTCTTCCGTAGAGAGACAGCAGAAAATGACTTTGTTTCATAATATGTATAGATAGTACGGTGTTGGAAAGTAAGTAGTTTTGGTTTTGTTATATGCGTTTGTTGAGGATCGAATTTTTAATTAAATCACTTTTGAAAAGATACAAATTGTGTTTGGTTCTTACTTTATGAAACCTTTTGGTGTTGACCTTTTGAGACATTGAACTAAAGTTGCCAACACACCAAACGAAGATAAATAAATCTTAATTTTTACGTTACGTAATTCCTCCTTGATTTCCGATGAAATTGGCAAACTTAAAGTTAACATACACTAGATACTTATAATTAATATACTTTATTGCCTACCCTTAGCGGCATATTAGATGAATCTAATACATTCAAACTACTTGCCTTCCAATTTCCGAGAGCATTTCATAGTAATCGTTGACATCGGTGTTTCTTTTGATTGTGACATCTCGGCAAGGAAATGGCGGCTCTATTTCTGTAACAAAAATAAATAACACATTTAAACAAAAGCACTATATTCGTGCCTGGTTTAAAAATATTTCATGTAGAGCAGCTTTTATAAATTGGTATATTTTTGGTGAAAATAAATAGTCTGTATTCTTAATACAAGACTTGTATTCTATGTGTGATTGTCGTTTTGATTCTAACATTCTAGCATCATTGTACGAGTATTATGGGAAGGAAAGCTCTATTCTAAGATGGGTATCTATTAAGTATCCATATTCCGATAATTGCGCCAATTGTAGATTTTTTATTCGACAGCTTAATGGACTAAGGTGGTTGTTCTATTTAATATAATGGACATCGAATCAGTAGTTATCTTTTTATAATTAAACAAAATACGCTTTTTACCATATATCACCTAATTATTTAGGTGACATGTATTGTATTTCATCTAAAAAACAAAAGATTGCGTATTTGGAATTCATTCACGTTCAAGGAGTATGTATATTTTTATGAAAGTAGGTATGGCAATCGATTTCTGCTTGTATATTGTAATCCAATTTCTTTTCAACTAGCTGTTTCTCCGCGACTTCGCCTGCGTAAATTATAGTCTATGTCCAACGAGTATTATGTAGCTTCCCGTAAATGAAAGACTTTTATTAATTGGTCCAATGATTTCAGAGCCTATTATATGCAAAAAACAAACAATCAAATAAGTCCTCTTTATAATATAGAATTATTGCAGAAAAATATGTCAAGCAAATAAACAAATCTTCTTTTGTGTCACTATGTTGAACATTTGTACTTATATTATAGTTTTGACTCTTATATAAAAGATATAAATAAAAGATATAATCACTAAACAGCATAAAATAAAAACTTAAAAAAATACAACCGACTTCAAACTTTAAATAGTGATAAATAAAAGTTATCTTACATAATATTGTCAAAGTTCATACACAAAATTCCAGTCAACATTTTTGTCTTTTTCCATAAGTTAGAATAAGTAAGAAACTCATAATATTTTTCAAATAACGCATTTAATTCTTAATATCAAAAACAAAATTATCAATCCGTTGAACGTTTAAATTTACATTTAAATGAAACCAATAAAATTAGTGAAATAGCTAACCGATTATGATATTTCTGATGACTCTTTTTGGTTTAAATCGACCGATTATATGCTAGAGTTGATTGCTCCCCGCGGGCGCCGCCGGTGCGACTCATTCCACTATTAGTCATCGGTTTTATAAGTCGTCATAGAATAAGGTAAAACTACTAATAGAATAAAGGTCTGAACAGACAGACGGATAAAAGTAAACAAACGGCTTTTTAATTTATAAACCTTTCGAAAATCGTTTAGATGTATCGCCTAGTTTTCTAATGCAAATCGATCGCATGTATGCACTTTATGTCAAGCAAGGTGTTATTGTTATTTTAAAATTCTTAGAGATGGAATTTATGTAACAAGACATTGAGATTTTTTTTTTTTTTTTGTATATCACTTATTTTCGTTATTATCATATAGAACATGGAAAAAATCATAATTCAAAAAAGCAACAATTTAATTAAATGGTAACGCCAACGTGTATCCACGTTCACGGACGTTTGCATAGATTCCACAAACGTGATTAGACGGCCCGTCATGGACGCCCATTTCACACTGAGCTCGAACTATTTTATAAATAAAACAGTATGAATGGAGATACAGACAGCCAAATACGTATGACCTTGCTGGCTGTAGCTACCAGTATCCTGGTGTAGATTCTTGGACGGCAGCCGATTACACGTCAATATATTGTTGTGACTAGGTACCACGTGTGAGCTTTGTGCATTAGGTAATTAACAATATGAAAATAGTCGGGGTACTGTTATCTTTTTAATAACCTCAGTGTGACACGTGTTGTTGAGGCAAAAAAGGAAAAGATATATATAAAATTTACGTAGTGGAACTTCATCTGTGGCTTATTACAATATAAACCTAAGAAGGTTCAATAAATATATAAATATTATCTTCTATTTTTCATTATAATATTATTATGATCGCAATATTATAATATCGAATCAATAACTTAAAAAAACTGTAAACGAGCAAGCTTAATTAATGTAAATTTTAGAATTATAGGTGGAATTATATCAAAATCAAAAAAAAACAAAATCAAAAATGTTTATTCTTCAGCTTAGTTTACAATTTACAATATATCATGAAGTCCCCTTTTAAGTATTTATCATACCTGTTTCAGGAGACCTCGCTCTTCCTTTTTATAGGGTATCATGAATAACATAAGCTTGTTGTTTGTGTGATAAGATGGCTTCATTTCTATTAAACATTGGCGTTATTCGGATTCGATCGTCTAAAGACGTCATTACCTCCTTTCGGTGTTCGTTTGATTTGTTACTAATTCAAGTTTATAACTCTATTCATTTATCATTTCACGATTGTTAAGAGCTTCAAGTAGAAAGTATAACTCTAAAGCTACATACAGATTCGTTTTACGACATTTACTTATGCTGTCAAAAAATAAGAGTCAAAATTTTTCAAAGTCCTATTGTTCCCTTAAAATAATGTTAAAGCTTTAATTAGGTACTTTAAATATAGCAGAATCAGTCCAGTTATTCTCAAGCAAACGCATTAAACATTAATATCTCTTTGTTCTCAAATGGTTTGCGCTTGCCAACAAATGACATCTATTTTTTATGCATAATACCTACTTCTGATACTTAGCTGTGTAGTATTGTTCTTGTTTCTACGGGGATTTTGAACTAAAAATATGATTTTTTAATATATAATAATGGTTTATGTCTTGAAAACTGCGGAGCCGATTCTAATGGGACCAGTGTTCTGATTACAGGCGCAGGTGGATATAAAATATTTATAGGCATATCTATGTATCATCGTCATCAACTTATAATGTCCACAGGTCTTCAATAACGACTTCTAAAGCACAGAGGCAGGGCCTGCTTAAGGCAGAGTAGGGGCTCTATGTACCTAAGTACAAAATTGAAAAATACCAAGTAAGGATAAAATATTGGATTTTTTTTATCCTAGGATATTTTCGGTACTGAGAAATAAATCATAAATTCGGCAAAACTATATTGGGATAGGTCTACTTACAGTGTAACCGTGAAACTATGATATTTCCATACTAAGTTGGAAACGGCAATAGATCTCGCAAAAATCACTACTCTATCCGTCTTCAGGAGTTGTTGCCACTTTAAGGTCTAACAACTCCAAGAATGCTTCATATAGAGGTAAAGTGAGAAACGGTGCTCAGCAGGTCTTGCAGACACTGACTTAGTGTGGAAGTTGCTAGATATCATAGTAATAGACATGGATTTCCACAAAATAACGTCTTATTCTATTAAAAATTTAACAGTACTTCAAAGACCTTTTTTATTGTATCGGGGTAAAAAGGGGTCCCAAGAATTACGTTAATTAGGAGCCCTTGGCAGGATTGATCCAGCCCAGCATGGACGAACTCGATATAATAATTTTTTGATCACCTATCTAATATATCGATAATGGCCAACTTATGAAACTTTCGCGATCGAGCTCTTCCTTCCTAAATAATACTATTTTTTTCATAATAGAGGCATATCCGGCCGTAAATGAAGCTAACGTCTCCCCAACAAATTGACTCGGTTGTGTTTGTGTCGTCTCGTAATCTCGGCTCAGAATAGAGCCGCATACCGTTCACTCTGCCAAAAATCTTCTGTTTTTGTTTACTTTATTACGAGTTTAGTTTTATTATTGTATCCATTTGTTCCCATTTTGTATTGACGTGAAACTTTCGTGACGCGTTAGCTAGTCCATGATTTGTGTTGACGACAGTTTCACTAGCCTCTGCAAATTAGTGTTTATATATTTTTACATCACTGTAAATTTAAAAGAAGAAGGTTTTATGCTCGAAGTTTATGTATTTTTATATAGGTAAGTTGACCGATTCCTCTGCGAATTCTGTTTTAATTAATTTTACAAGGCCGAGGTAGTTTCGAAATCGGATTAGCAGTTTTGTAATGTGAAATCAATATAGGTAGGTACTCATAATAGAATCGTTTTAAAAATGATATGATAATGTGATCCGTGACGACATAATTTGTTTTTCTAAAAATAGAATCGTATTCAAACTTAAAAAAAAAATTGAAATAATTATGTCGGACGGAGGTATTCTGTAGGTTATTGATCGATAACCATCCGACTTCAATAATTATGTTGCTTTTAAGATAAATATTGTTTCTCACTTTGAAAAATTCGTAGTCGATTCATATTTTTTTTTATTTCATAAAAGAGCCAATAACGAAGAAATTTAATTGAATTGAACTAGTCATTTAGATCTCTAATTAAATTATTATGACTTTTAAAAATTTAATGGCGCCATTCCATTTAAGGGCTAACCGTCCAATTGCACTTTTGTTTTTGTCACTTATAGATGAACTTATCGAAAATCAAAATGAGCCTTTAGTCAATAGAATACTACTATAATTATAGTTTACTCTGCGTCTTACTGGCTCATATTAAACTTGATTGACATTCCATGCATGTTTTAAACTTATCTTTTGTTGATCAAGCTCAACGAAAGGACGTCCCTACATATTCTTTGAAAGAATAGTGAGTCACTTTTAATGTTTAGACCGCTCCCCGCAGAATACGTTCACACATCCCTTCTGAGTCACAAAGAATGCGATTTAAGAAATTAAATGTAAACTTTTAAAGGAGAGCTTTCTAAAATAAATCGAGCCCTAAACCTCAACTGTAACAGTAACACTTTGTAACAGAGGATCTGTCTGATCTATCAACGCACAGCTCAAACTACAAGATTGATCAAATTGAAATCTGGCACATTATCGTTATTATGACATAGAGATTAGATAAGAAATTTTGAAAAGTTGAACTCTCAAAAGAGATTGATAAGGGATTATGAAATAATGCAGTCCACAATTACAAAGCAATGTGCTTAACGTCAGTTATATTTATCAAATTCAGCAATGAGGAAGTATTTAAAAAAAAATAGTTCCCGAAATCAAACTCGATGTCGCTACGGTACGGTTTTGATTTCTCCATGACAACCGGACAATTCCGGTTTTCTTTCAAGTTTAAAAGTAAATTCGTTTTCAAAACTCAATACAAATTTTTCATATTTTCATATTGTATATGTACTTTTTCGTATTTGTATCGCTATCTAAGTTTCGAACTTTTCAAATATCAGTTTTTTAATATGTTAGTTAAAAGGAACGGAAATGACTGTCTTTGGTCCATTCGTCTCCTGCAAAAATCAACTTTTGCTAGAGTCGTCATCTAGTGGGGTGCTTTTTTAGTGCTTTCTTTTTTTTAAATACTTCCTCATTCTTAATTAAATTTTGACATCGAAAAAAATCTTATAAATATTATTTTTCAAACAAATAGTGATTTGCATTCGCATATTTTTGAATATTCGCATTAGCATTCTCATTCGCAAAGTTTAGAAAGTAAAAATAAATTTTTGATAAAAAAAATATGTGACAAGAAAATAAAAACAAATATAAAAAATTAAGAATTCTTACCTCCCACCGGGTCAGTCTCATCGACGTGGATCATCTTTGTAGTTCTAAAACAATAAGAGTTCGATCAATTAGTGACACAATCAAAGAGTTGTAAATTATTGGACATTTAAGATGGCTATGTCGAAGAAAATTACTCGAAAATTCATCAAAACCAGATGCTCGAGATGGGATATCTCAGGTGCCCATATGCTTCTAGGCAAATGCCTAGAATAATCCAGCCCTGCATCGACCTAGAGAAATCCAGCACTGCCATCGTCATCTGGCTAGAAGCTACGATGTCCAGTGAATTCTTTGAGTTTCCATCAATATGTCATTGTGCACGCAAACAAGATCAAATATAGGTTAAAATATGAAATGGCTTTGATATTTCTTTATTACCTACATGAAGTCATTAATTAGAAAAACCTAATCAGCTATATTAATAATATTGTGTAAGTATCTTTTCAATGCAGTTGCTCATAAAGTGCTATTTTTTTAATCCATTGTAAACACCGAAAGTGAGTCTTCAAACACGTGTTAAATAAAAATGTACTGAAATCCTTGACTGCACACGTGCTTAAAAGTATTTTTTTAATTTTTTTTAGCCGAGCACCAAAGAAATTTAAAAAGAAGTATGATGAAAATATGTCAAACTTTAGAGGCAAAAGTATTTCAAGGAGCCTAGAACGAATATTTTCAAGTAAAAATGTATGACAAGAAAACATGTTCAATTTGAAACATGTTATCACGTTTAATTTTAACAAATAATTTTTACCTTTAATACATACTTAGTTTTATTAACCTATATATTTGTTTTATTTCCTCGCAAAAAGCATTGAAAAATGTTGTAAGAAACTTGAGCGTAAAAGGTTTTTCGAATTCGTGCCAATGAAAACACGAGCGTAGCGAATTTGGCCCTTATTCGTAAAACCTTACTTTCCGCACTCGTATCTTAAAAAACTATAATGAAACATTTACAAAGGGATTTATATGATAGGTTGATCATCATCATCAACCAGTAGTGTCCGAAAAATATGGGAGAACGTGGTGTGTTAATGAAATATTAATACTAATCGTTCGAAGTCTACAACTGAATATCTATTTTCGAAATATTAATATGACTACAAAAAACGTATTATTTATACTGTAAGGGTTTAGGATCTTACACTAATGCACAGATAATCTTCCCGGACATTATTTTAACAAAAAATAATAAAAATCGGAAATATTTAATTTTTAATATGACGTCAAAAATAATGCTTCATGTGTCATGATATTTCGTACATATTATTCGTATTATTATTGAAGTTTATTATGAAATAAGTAAGAATGCTGGGTTTCACCGTATTTTTATTTAAAATACAAACTACAATAATTTTATAATTAAGGTTAATTATCGCTAATTTTCTAAATGTAATAGTTCCAGAATTATTTATCTTGTATCTATTATAAAAAATATATTTCAAATTATCGTTTGATGTGTCGTAATAATTTTCCAATTTAATACCAACAGAAATAATCTTGTATAAATTTTTTGGATCCACAATTTACTTAAGTGTACCAAACAAATTAATCGATTCGGAGAGAATCAGGTAGACAACAGATAGAAAAGACAAAAGATTAATATAATGTATTATTAGAAAGCAATGTATGGGATCCAAATAACAGCAATGACGACTCTAATATTTCTATCTGTAATAAAATTTGCGACGTCAACTTCGGTTATTGACCTAAATAATTAGAACAGAATATGACACTACACCGTGATTTTAACAAGTGTTGTTTCGTGAACACAAATAATAACTACATATGTAGGTGCAATTATGATGATTTGACTAATTAACTTAATTGTTATTGTGATAACTGCAAAAGCATTGCGACAATGAGCGCGAATCAACACAATGCAAAACTTTTTTTATGGTACGGAATATTTGATTTTTATATTGTGGTTTTACCACAATGAAAAATAATTAATTACCTAATTAAAATGAAAAAGATTTGCTACTATGTCATTAGTTTCGTTTGGACAGATTGGATTAAAAATAATTAGTTAGTGCAACAATTTAGAAAATAGTTTATTTTAATGTGATATAGGTATTATGCTTTATTTTACTAAAAGTTTTTATATAGATAGCAATGTCAAATATATAGGGGGAGTCCGGGAGACTTGCCCAGATGGGAGAGTTGAACCACTTCTCAAAATTCAACGTATATTGCAAGCTAATGAAACATTAACACAGTCGTAGATCATGTTTGGAAGACCAATAATGTATGTGTCAGTGGCAATTGCTCAAAATGCCTGGTTTGTTTAGTTTTTAAGTTGCGAAAAGTGTTTTGGTCACTACAAAATAAATTTAAAATAATTAGTAGTTTTGAGATACTAGCCGTGTTTATCGATGTAAGTATTGTGTATTATTTTTATCGTATTTGCTGATTATTCTAGTTTGAAGTATGTTAATTTTTTTAACAGTAATTGAATACTTTTTTTGCAATGAAAATTTTATGTCGAAGTGATGCGGAAGAGTTGAATCACTGTTCTTGTTGAAGACATCACTGGTTAATTATACCAGCTGTGGTGATGATTCTTCTGCCATAATAGTACTTGCACTCAATTCAATATTATAAATGTTAATGAAACAAGTGAACAGAAGGCAAATAACATTTAGAATAGTTTTTATAATTTTTGAGAATAAGTTTTGAGTATCAATTCCAAATAATAAATATATGAAAGCAAAACTACGCAAAAGACTCTAATAGAAAGATGATACTAAAAAAAAACAGAAATTACTAAACCCCGATAATGAGTTTCCTCAGACTTTTGATCATATGTCCCTCATAGTGGGGAGAGTTGATCCATTTCCCATTTTTACTTCAAATCGGCTTAGCAATTTACAGTATTGATATATTTAAAAAGTGATTATGCAAAAAACAAGTCTATATAAATTACACATGAATGAAAATTATAATCTAGTCTCTACGACAAATCTATACGAAGATATTATAATTCAAGTAAAAAGAGGTTTAAGTCTCCGGACTTCCCCTACATAGAGGCGTTGTAGATGATAATAGCTATAAATGTACTTTGCATAGAAGAAATTAAAAAGTAATAAGTTATGTATTCATTTTATTATTTTTATTCAATTTTATGTTTCTCTTGAACGGATGAACTGATTGATTTACAATCTTGTTTTTCAGAAATTTGTATGTTTGTAATTTTCTCTTTGCTCTTTTGAATCGAAGCTTTCAGCAATCATACATGGTAATATGTATCTCAAATTACAAAATCTCAACTGATTATTCTGAATAAAGTAAGTATTTACGTTTTATAAAACTGCTATCAACTGATCATTTAAAAAAAAAAACAGAAACGAAAACCTGTTAGAGTGACTTTTAAGATTTTTTAGGTACGATTTGAGACGTGCTTGACATTCAATTCTCAATTCAGACGCGTGAATGAACGATTTGTTTTGCTCTGCGTAAGTTTACATGAGACATTTATACAAGACGTCTCTTATATTCGCCGCCATTAAATATTAACTGCATAGCGCAGCTCCAGGGAGTCGCTCGGACTATGTGGGTCATCTATTTGGGTTTACGAACCAACTGGCGTTGTAAGTAAATTAATAAACATATTAGCCAACAGTTGGTTGGATAATAAACCTTTCTATTTAGTGTTTCGATATACCTAGTATTTCAATAAAATGATGAAAATTACCTATGAAAATTATCAAGGCTTTTATTTAAAATAATAATATAATCTTTATTGCACACATACAGACAGGAAAACAACACAGAATTACACGGTATAAAAATACAGAGTACACAAAGGGCGGAATTATTGCTAAGCACCAATATTTTCCAGACAACCTATGGAGGAGAATAATAAAAGAAAAGGGAAAATATGGGGTATATATAGGGTGTAATGGTCAGAAGGATATAAGATATATCTTTATATATTAAATAAGAAAGTAAAAGTTAACAGCATTAGCATAGAGAAAGGAAATAGCTTTCAACTCGAACGCCGAAGAAATTTAGTGAGCGAGTATTCTTGACATCTTCCGGGATAGAATTCCATAAATGCACAGCATGCACTTAAAAGGAATAGGAGAAGAAATCGGAAGTATGACGTGGGATGTCCAAAGTGAGGTTGGATGAGGATCACAAGGAACTCAGTCAGAACTCGCATCACGAAAAAGAGCGGAAAGAGAAACATTGTTTGAGATAATGTGGAGAGGAGGGTAGGAAAAAAATAGAATAAATTAACTTTAAAGTGTGTAAATCCCCGCGCTGGCGAATAAGGAGCCAAGATAGTCTGGAACGGAAATTCGACACATGGTCAAATTTACGAAGGTTGAAAATGAATCGGATACAAATATTCTGCAGACGCTCCAATTTATTGAGAAGTTAAGCTCCAATTTATCGATAACAATAACGAATACGCTAAAGAGACCTTAGTTCTAGTAGTTGCGTAGTCTATTAAGTGAATAGTACGAGGAAAATACCTTCTTTCTAACGGACTCCACCAAGCTACCAAGAAAGGTTTTGATCGAAGAGGACGCCAAAGTTTCTAACAGCTTTTGAATAGGGAATAACAATGCCGTTGAATATTACTGGAGGTAGCAACTCAGAACTGACCCAAGAAATGTAATGTGAACTGTCAATTAGAATTACTTGAGTTTTAGAGAGTCACTCCAATTACAAATTCGAGACAGGTCAGAATTTATAACTGAGAGTGCTTCTGATAAGTGTGAAAATGGTGCTTGAGTATAAATTTGAAGGTCATCTGCATAGATTTGATAGGAACATGAAAGCATTTCAGTTATTAAATTAATAAATACAAAGAAAAGAGGAGATAACACGCCAGCCTGAGGAACGCTGACTTTGATATAGAGGTAGACCACGTAGAGACGGACTCATCAATGCGGATCCTCTGCCAGTGTCCTAGCAGGTAACTTCGAAACCAGGATTTACAGCTGGAGATATGTTGAGAGAAGCCATTACACAATTACACAGAGGAGTATTCCAAAACCAACCGTAATGAAAGCATTGCAAAATCTAGCAACGT